CAGCTCTCCTTGGAGAAGGAAGATGTAAGAGCAGGTTCCACAGACCCTCTGCAAAGTCAGAGCTCAAAGTGCTGCACAGAGGTATTTTAAGCCACTCTGTTACTTTCACGTTTCACTTTGACAGCCTTTCCCCACAGCCTTTTCCAGTGAAGATGGAGGGCTGTGAGGTGGCAAAGCAATTAACTAAGGGGCAATGAGGCATCCATATGTCTTACTGCAGGTTGTGTGCTACCAATTCCTCTATAACAATAAAATGTTTGCTGTTGAAAAGCTGTAAGTAGTTAAAATTAATAGACAATGAACCAGAGGCACCAGACCTTCAACTCTGGAAAAAGTAAGGAAATATTAGTAAGGCAAAGGGAACAGAGCCAGCCTCAAAACGTTAACACTGCCTTCCCTCTAATCTGTCTAATCTTGCAGGCCATCCTTGATGACATGCAGCTTCTCCCCTCCCCAGAGGGAGGGGTACACATACCTCCCCAGCAGTATTCCGAAAGATTAGATCTTAGACAGCTATGAGAGCTCCCAACAACCATATCACCAAATCCAGATAACCGGATTAACTTTGGCTCCTCCATGTTACACTCCTCGCCTGGCCTGATGTGCATCCAGTAGCCTATGTTAATACTAATTATCCTCTTTATTTTACTTGCTCAAGAGCACCTTAGCATCAGATGCTCCTCCTGTCCTACATCTGTCTCAGCAGATAATATTTTTTCCTGACAACTGTATTTCCAAAATTGGGCAGAATAGGCATTTCTTTGCCACAAGATCACCTTTCTAAAATACTCACCTGTTTCAATCTCTCCCTTGCCTGTATGATTTTCTTTTTCAGCCACTTGCAGCGAGCTGTAACAATCGCAGTATGCCCTCGGACTCGTTCTTCCTTCTGTCAAAGGAAAAGGAAGAATACATATTAAACTTTTACTCCCAAATCACATGGTGGTGGCAGATGGCAGAAGTTGTAGACACCTGGGCTGAACTCCAGGTTACTATACATTTAGTTTAAGTTAGAATCAAAGCCAACCTTGCATCTGCTTTGCATATACAGATGAAATTCAACACCTATTTTCCCTAAAGGATAACGGCAAACACCATTTGGAGAGTCTTTCTTATGTTCACTGAGTGGAAGCTGATGTGTAGGTTCAGTGTCAGGTATTGCTTCTGAGTTTTGGTTTAATTTTCTCTTTTCAAAACAACAGTATGTTTTTTTGCTGATGTTCTTCATAATCTACTTCATCTGTTGTTAAGGATCTGTTATCTGATCTCTGCAAAGTGTTTTATAACTTTATTTTTTGCAAAAGAAATGCAGGTAAGTTCAAATTTCTCATTTTTTTTTCAGAAAACATGTTCTTTTTAAAATAATTGTTTGTATTACTAGAAAGTCACTCCCCTGTGCTGCTCTTTCTCATTCTATTTTATTTCAGTAATTAAAAATGTCTCTTGAAATGATACATGGATCTGCAAACCACTGATCTGCTCTTTCCAGGAGACAGCTGGGACCTTGGAGTACAGAGGTCGTTAGTATCATTTTCATATTGCAACTATATCTAATGTGCTCTGATAAATTCAGGTTATGTCTCAGTGATCCACAGATCTTCTCAGTTTAAAAGTTTCTTCTCCTTTGCAGCTTTAGGATTTTATCTGGATTAGTGTAACTTACTAAACCAGACAGACATAATTTTCACCAGTGATGCTGCTCTTGAAACTTCATTCCCAGGGTTTCTGGCATAATCATCGTATAATTTGCTTTTCCCCAGCAAACATGCTACACACGCGGTAACACCCCTGTTGGCACCTTTTCAATAAATTCTACTTACCTCTCCCAAAACAAACTCCAAGTCACTGAACTGCCTGTTCTCCCATAGCCTTCCATAATCTTCATGTAGAGTGCATTTAGGGTAACAAGAAAACTAAAAAGAAAAATAAAGCCCCACAGAAGACAGAATTAATTTCAAATGTCTACATCCAAAAGCACTGTAGTTACATACACTATCACTCGATTTTCTTACTAACCCAACCTCAAAGTAGTGCATAAAGTAGAAAATAACAAGCAAACCAAACACATGCAAGGGCTTCCTCTATGGTGAGGGTAATGAAAGATAAAGAGGTTAACATGAAAGAATTGTGTCTCATCACAACCTGAAGATTTCAGGATTTGGTGGCTGGGAGTCTCACTTGCTCTCAGGACTTGTCTAAGGGTCCCAAGCAATAAAAATAGGGGGGGATTTACCCTGGTGTGAGTATCTTGAAATTTAAAATTCAAAATTCCCATAGTTATTGAGGGGGTGGGCGTGGGAGTGCTACATGAAGATAAAACTTCAATAGAAAATGCTCTGACCTAGGAACCCTGAACATGACAGCACATGAAAAGGAACAGTCAATTTTCAGTTAAACATGCTGGCAAATCCTGTCTGACACACTTTTCAATAATTTGTCAAAATAAATTGTCATGATCTCTGTTAGGACTTTAGAAGGCACTGGAGAGCTTGGCCTTACCAAAATGGCTGTCCAGATAACATTTCTCAAAAGATTTTAAAGATATAAATTAATCTTTGACAGTTGAATCTGAAATGCAAAGGCTGCCTGCAGGAAGGGTGCGAAACAAAAGCCATCAAGCTCACAGCGAGCCAAACCAGAAACTCTGCCACGTCCAGAGACAGAGCTGGAAGGATTCACACAGAACTAGTGTGGATGTTTGAGTATGTTTATCAGTGAATTACCTGGAACCTGTACATTTCTCCACTTCTAATGTTATTGTCCACCGTGCCGCCAAAGATGTACATGGCATCTGAGATAACAGCTGCAGCATGGAAGAGTCTCCCACTGGGCAACTAAAAGGACAAAATAGGTAAGAGAATAAATAAAAGCCTTTTTTTTCTCCCAAGAAAAAGGACCTGCAACAGATCAACAGTGAGAAGGGAAAAATCAACATAGTCTGAAGTGACACAAACGCTTGCATCCTAAGATTGACATTTATTAGATTTCAGGATTGCTTCCTAGTGTATCTAGAACATAGTTTCCAGTCACATTTAAAAACACCTATTCATTGCACCTTCTAATCAGAACGGTACGTACACAGGGCTCTACGCATCATGATAGTTACAAAACATATCATTCACCAAACTCAGACTCAATGCTAAGTTTTCCATAGAAAAATAAAACGCATTTCTAGAAATAAAACAGATTCTGCAAATGTGATCACTATGCAAACTCAGAGCTTATTCCAAATATTGTTGGGAACTTGAAAGGTAAATGATCATCTAACTCAGCAGGATACTGAACCCCAGGCTTGTAAATGCATGCCTTCCCCACAGCTTGCTGGGGCTGAACCGTCTAGCTAACGAGCCCCTCCAGCAACACCAGGTTCTGCACAGAAGCCCAAAGCTGGAGACATTTACAGAGCTGGCACCACAGAGTCAAGTCTCCTTTCTCCATCATGCCAGGTCCACAGAAAATAAAGCCACCCCACACTGCACGAAGTCCCAGCTATTTATAGGACTGAGGGATTGCACCACTCCATGCAACACACAGTTCATCTTGGAATTGCAAAATCTGATGATTTTTGAAGTGGGAAGGAGTCGCTGCAAGTCCAAGCCGCTGTGACCCTCCTGCACCGGACAGACCACATCATTTTTACCCGTTCCTTCTGAGGAACGGATACACAAAAGGTATCTGATCAAAGTAGCACATCTCGCTGAGATATCTCACATAAAGTCTTCAAGTGCTATTAGGAACTTTTTTTTTTTTTTTTTTCCTTAGTTTGATCAGGCTTGGTTTGTCTTCCAGGCAGTAAATCTCATTAAATCTTTGCCTACAAAATAAAAAGTCCTCTGGTATAAGAAATCTTCTCTTCTTGTACATATTTATAGACACCGCTCAAGTAAACTCAGACACGAAACAAGATTATGTTTATCTGGAGAGACATATTTTCCAGGAAACCATGCTGACTGGCATCTTTCATTACCACCGACTTATCCCTTTTACCGCAGCATCACACAATGGTCTCATTTAGTTTGTTACTCACCAGACTTTCCATGACTTTTTCTTTTCTTCAGACTGCACCTTTTAAGGATACAATCCCCCGTGCAGTAACTAGGATCTGTTTGTGGTGTTTTTTTTTCTCAGATGTACAAACCACAGATTTGGTCACCTTAAAATTCACGTTTGGTCGTGCCAGTTTAACAAGCCATTTAGATTCCTCTGGATAAACAAGATACTTTCTGTCTCCAGCATACTTCATGAATACTTTATCAAAGAAACTTTACAGTTGGTGCTAATAAATACTGTGATGGGAAGATCATGGAATAATATTGATCTATTAGTACATTCTTGCTGGGCCCCTGTTCGATACCTCTCCAAAAGAGGATGAGATTACTGTCAAATATAATCTATTTTATATAGCCTCTATTCGTTCTTAGTAGTAATCTCATTAATTAAGATGTACAGACTGAAAAAATCAAACATATTATAGTAGTTCAAAAATATATCAGTGACCTTTATCAACTGGACCTCCAACCTCATCCCAAAATATGAAGTTTGCTTGCCAAGATCTATTTGCTCTATCAGCCTAGATGGGCTGATATTAGCTGTACTGTAATGTCCTTCTTACAACTAACTCTCCAACCAAAACCAGAACTATTCTGTCAGAGATTAAATGCAGGTCACCTGGTTTATACTTACTCACACCGTTTTCCCTTTTTTTTTTAAACTAATACTTTAGCTTTGTTTTTATTTGAAATAATTCTCAATATTGTCTAGTGCTTGCTTTTAAAAAGCAGCCATTTTATTTAACAACCACATTTTTTTCATTCAGAAAAACTCACAGCATTTTAACAACTGGTGCCAGAAAGGAAACATGAATCATCTGAATATTTAACTAAGTAACACCATACTTGCTAGTCACTTCATATTTAACTCAAATGATCTGTAAGGAACTTTATAATGACGATTTTTAATTTGAAATGGTTGGTACAGGAGCGGTGAAGGAACCAGAGCTTTGCCGCTTACTAATAACTTAAGCAATCAAACTACTCTACTTTTTTAATACACATACCGTATTTTTAAAGCGAGTAGTAAGAGAAATGTAAAATACGAAAGGATAGCCCAGAAAAAGGAAGGCCATATACAGTTCATCAAAACATTGTGCAGCTGAGGGTCTAGGGTATTTGTTTTGCTGAATCAGAATAGCAGAATTCAAGCCAGCACAAACCCTCACATGGTGACAGCAACTCTGCCAAGCAGTGAGATACTAATGCCACCTCCAAGGAGAACTACGCTCTGCCCTCCCAGCACCAAGGCTTTGGCCAGAGAAAAACTTTGGCCCAGTGCAAATCAGGGGAGTTGGGTCCTCAGGAAGAAAATATTCAGGGCAAAAAGGTTAATATGGCTCAGGAGCATAAAGAGCTGGAGAGACATGCTGGGCTTCATGTTCCTCATCCACCAATACCAGCCGCCAAAAGACTGTGCTATCTTGAATTTTTTGTTGGGAGACCTCCGAAAGTGCCAAATCCAGCTGCTGAATACACTCAACCCAGAGTTTATAAGGAACAGATATGAAATAATATCTATTTTGCTAGCCAGGATGGTCAGAAATCCTCCCAGCATGGGATTCTGCGGAGGAAGAGGGTCCATGAGAGAATTCACAAAAACAGAGACATAAAACTATGCCCTGCATGCCAAATTCAGCAGCCCAGCACTGGAGGATTAGAGTTGCATGGTCTTATTTTAAACACCAGAGAAACAGCCGTTGCTCTGCTCATCGTCCATGGACCTGTACTTCACAAAAAGAGTTCTGGTAAAACCACACGGTTTGTGCTGCCTGAGGCTGACATAATTCAGGTGGTTTATAACCCACCAGAAGAATTGAATCTGAGTTTCTTTTATGCAGATATTTATATATCTGTGTCTTCCTCTCTACCTGTGGTGCTGCACTCCCCTCCTCCTTCTCTGGGCCTTGCTGCAACCTCAGGAATTCAGGCCTTAGCCTTTGTGTAACGAGTTGGGTGGTTAAGAGTCCCTTGACCATACCTGAAACTCTTTCACATCTAAGGTGGGAATAACATTGATTGTACCAGCAACTTCTCTTTTCTGGCCAAGACTGGAAGCTTGAGCAAAACAGCCTCGTAGCTCAAGCAAAACAGCCTTGCAGCTCGAGCAAAACAAGCCTTGGTAGCTTGAGCAAAACAGTTATCATTACTAGCAGAATTTTGAGAATTCCGGCAATCATTCACTCAAATTGACTGAGATTACAGCAAATCCTATTGAATTACTTCATAAATGTTAGTCAATGATTAAGTGCTGTTAAACGAAGAAGTACTGCTAAAGCCTACTGCTAAATACTCCTGCTATCTCTTAGACATAAACCGTTGACCAAGTCTGGGACTAGGGGTAGATCCAGGCGCACCTCGACTCCTCTCTGAAGGAGTTTAGAAAGCACGGGGGTCTACTCTAAATCTCATGACTCAACGGGAAGGCCTTCCTTACCCCTTTTATCTCCAGTCTCTGTGTAAATCTCTCTAGCTCGATTCTAACTTGATTTTTCCTGTGTATATCCCTTTCATATAGTAAGTAACAGAGTGAAGCTTGACATTCAACTTTGTTAAGTCACACTTTTATAAATTCATATTAAAACCATTTCTGCTAATACCGTTGACGATGATTCTTTGATCGACCCTAAACCACTCATTCATGACACTACTGAGCGAAGTCTCATCCCTTGCACTACTGCACACAGCCAAACCTGATTTGATAAAACCCCAAGAAAGTCAGTTCATGCAAAGGTGGGACAAGAATCACTGACTATAACAGAGCAAACCTCTCTAAGATCTGAAAGACCAGTATCAAGCACCACAGAGTTGCAGCCATTGGACACAATCCTGTCAGAGCCTGAGAGAGAGTACAAACCCCTACGATTTCCAACACACAATCACTCTACTACAATTAATTGTGTAAGTAGAAAATAGTGTACCAAGTTTCTTCCTGTTCAAGCTATTTCTTCCTTGCTGCAATTTAAGCATTAATCACATTAACTCTTGTCCTACCCACCAGAAACACAGAAAAGAGCTTCTTTCCCTCCTTTCTGAAGTAACTGTTTCTCCATTTCCAAACGTATGCTTCACCTCCCATCTTCCCTTCACTAGGCATCTCCAGCTCTTTCAACTTTTCAATGGGGTCCTGTTTGCTGATTGCTCTTACAGCATTCCTATGGATTCTCCTGATGGTCCGCGTATTTGTACTCGATCCATCTGCACAAGTATAGGATTATTAGTAGCTGCAGTTTATTAGACCTGCCTTAGACAAGGCTATCACTCAAATATACGGTGAGTGACTCCCTGCCCACAAAACTATAAGCCAAGGTTACAGTTAGGAATCACTGCTCTCAGAGAAACAAAGTCAGCATAGGGTGAATGGGAAACTAAGCCTTTGTTTTGCAATACAACATATTTATCCTAATTTCTGTCTTTTACAAGCATAGTCTAATCAACTGTCCCACATGCTGCTTGTGGCATAGGAATGTGTTGGTCATCCTCATTTCACAGTCAGCAAAGAGGCTCAAAGAAACTGTTTTAATTTTCTGAGATCGTAAAGAAAGACTACAGCAGAGTAACAGCATGTGCGCAGTGTGCAGGGTACCTTTCAGCTGCCTGCTATGGGTAAAATTTTAAGGTTATTCTGGTACTTTCTGCATTCTAAGTCCGGCTGCTAGGGCTCTGAGTCTGATACGGAGAAGTGCAGATTTCTGCTTAAGACCTCTCAAGTAATGAACATATACTTTATGCTACGAATCTGTCAGGTTTTTTTGGACAGTTTTCTTGGGATGTCCTCTCGCCCTCTTTTCTCCCAGTGTTTCACCTTGTCAAGTTCCAAAGTCCTGCCAGTAGCAAGACCACTGTTCCTTCGCAGTCCCATGAAACCTTGTTTAGACTTGGCCACGTCCTAAATTGCTAAAAGTCAGCACTCTCTTCCTGCTGCTTATTGTTTCACTTGAAGCTAAAATCTTTCCAGTGTCATCCATGTTGGTCTATCCTTTGATCCTTACCTGTCAGCTCCCAACCAGCTCACTGTCCATCCCAAGGCAAAGCTCCAGGCATTCCTCCACATGGAGCACAACCTCTTCTCCTTACCTTCCCAGCCTGTCTTTCTGATCATGTCAGCTATCTCACCATGTCCAACAGGTCACAGCTCTGCAACTGTGCATGACCTTCTAATTCCTCCTGTCTCCTAAACCACACGTGTTTGTGCAGAGGTAGCTGAGATGGGCTGTTTTCACAAGGGGGGAGCAAAAGCTTTCCCAATCCTGTTGTCCACCAGACACTTCCTCTCATACCTTCACTCCTCTCCAGCTGATGGCAACCTTTCCCTGATGTACCTTAATGCAAATATTCCAGATAATAAGGTGAGAATTGCAATCAGGATTATAGTGATAAACACAGCCATCACATCATAGAGCCACACCTGTGTTAGGTATGCTTAACAATAAAGGCATACCAGTATACCTACTGGTAAAGTCCTCCTGATACAATAAAAACTGCTACCTAAAAGGAGCACTGTGCAAACATAACTTGAGTCTGATAGGCGAGATAATCTGTTCAAAATTATACTTCTGATTTGCAATAACTGTTATTTCAGCACTGGTTTCTGCTGGCACAACTTCAGATGGTCATATGTGAATCCAAAGGGCTATCGGCCTTCTCACTCTCAGTGCACACAAGAATGCTAAAAATCACAGACTAAGATGCACTGCCAGTCTGAATCTATTTGTCAGCTCTAGATCCGATACTTATCCCTCAATCAGCGTGATCTCCTTACTTTATTAGCAGTGCCTGACAAAAAGAATTTTAGATTCAATCCTGACAACTCTGATGATCCGGGCTGGTACCCCTCTCTGAGATGCACTGCCCTGTTTCATCTGTTGAAGTGTTTTCTCTATTTAAGGCTAATGAGATTTGCAATCTGAGGCTCTTTTCAAGCTGGAATCTTCGCACTGAAAAGGAGATGTCATCAGTCACTTTTGTTTCCCTTTCAGTATACCTTTCCACACAGCCAGCATGACTTGAGGCATCATTTTCAAAATTCAAGTACTTCAGAAGTCTTTTTTTTTTTTGCATTTCTTGTGCTCAGACTCACTTCATATCCTGTCTAGACAGCACAAATTGAGTTTGCCCTGTGATGCTCATCAAGGTTCTGGTTTGACTTACAAACCTGTGTATTAGTGTTGCTTCTCCCTGTGCTAAGAGTACCTAGCAATCATTCAAATAGCTGAGATTACAGCCCTGAGCATCACCTCTGGGGCTGATTCCACATACTTTAAAATAAACTTAGTTAAACCTGTGCAAACGCCTACGCAAACTCATTGATTTAAATTTTGACCTCACCAGGAATACATTCTGCTTCACTTGAAGTCCTTAATAAATTAAGTGGAATCAACATAAAAGTAAAATTAAATCAAATTAATAGTTTCCATTTGGGGTCAGTACTAGTTTTAGTTTTACGCAATTTAGAACTCGCATGTGCAGAGTCAAGGCTTAAATGGTCTTTAGATTACAGTTTAATCTGAAATAGCTCAAGATAAATTTCAAGGAGAGAAAAAGGGAGTGCAGGAGAAAAAGCATATACAAGGCTGGGATTTCTTTCTCCTGGAATAAATTTAATTCGCATTTTTGAAGTCTCTTTCACTTCCAAGTGTTTCTTTATTTACCTCGGAGTCTGCTGTAGGTGGTTGTTTAACTGTTGTTATGCCGAAATCTAAACCAAATACATCTCGAGATTTTTTTAAACCATGTTCTTCCGAGGGCAAGGAGGGAGCTTCTTCTGGGGCAGATACTCTCTTAGCCACTCTGGACAGGACACCTGGTTACAAGATTTAAAAACAACAGTGTGTAGAAGTATAGATGGGAGGCATGAGAGACTGGACACGGAACAGGAGTCCTTGTGTGGCTGAAGCTCCAAAAGATCATGCCCGAGTATCCAAAACACTCAGAATCAGTCCAGAGAAAGCACCGCGGGCTTGTTTGGAGCCTATCACTGTGACTGAACAATTTAACAAATTAGTCGTGTCGTTTTCTTATGGTTTTTTGCAATGACAGAGGTACACAGCAATAAAAATCTTATCCACTAATTGCTTTTTGTCTACTCTCTTCCTCCTATGGTTCTTCATGAGAAGCTGAGGGTTTCGTTTACTGCAAGTAGGAAGAATGTAGATCGTGAACAAAGATGGCAAAGAGGTAGTAGCTGTCAGCTATTCCCACAGTCTGAGACAGACCTCCCCCATTTTGGCTCGATGAAAAAACAGGGCAGATGGATCACCACAAAGTGACAACCTGTGCTTTACGTCAAAGCTGACTAACTCATTTGGAAGATGATGAAGTAAAACCTTTTCTACACCCGATAGGTTACACCACAGCATGACGGCAGGCAACACGCAGGGAGCTAACTCAGCCACTGCTGCTCCGCCGGAGAGCCGTGCGCTCCTCAAGGGCCAAGTTTTAGCTGGCTCTATTCATGGTCCAGATGCAATTCTTCTGTACTTCTGCCAAGAGATCTGGGTCAGTAACAAAAACGTAACTTTCCTGTCCTGAGATTCATTCTCTTGGCTGTGAAGAATGTATCAGCTATACTATTATTGCAGGCTGCGACTACTTGTGTTGTTTTCAGTGCTTATCCTCTATTTCTTATTAATCTCTCAAAGCATTTCTAACATGTTTTCAGTGCTTTTCTCAGATTGAAATTTCAGCACCATGTGCAATACTAGCAAATACCTAAAATCAAATCCACTACAGTTGCTTCAAGGTTGCTCTTTCTCATTCTCTCAGCTTCTCAGAAGCCTTCTTATATTTACAGAATAAATTTATAATTGTGTATGTTTTAACTCTCCTCACACTCACACACGAATGAGCAGGTATTAAGGAAGCTGATTGTTGCACTGAACTCCAAAGCCAGTAAAGTTGCGCTCAGATGTCTTTCACAATCTAGGAACATTGATGAGCTTCTCTATCCTCCAATACCACCAAAAACTCTAAGCCAAAACGAAAACACCTAAAGCCATCAACAAACAAACCTGGTGAACCAACAAAAACTAAAAGGTTAAAAAAAAAATTTAAAAAAATCTGTTTTTCCTCTGAAACTGGAAGAAAACCAAAAGCTGCAACAGGTCCAAATGAGATGTCACTACTCGTAGCTGTTTATACTCCAGAGATGCTTCTACACTATCATACCAGGCAGCAACATAAAACTCTCAAACAGATGGGCAGACAGAGCTTTGGATATTCGTGAAGTTCAAGGAGGTTTAAGGATTTAAAGTGTTTTCACATGCTGGGTGCAGAAAATCTATAAGCTTTTCAGACAAAATTGGAACAGACTCATTTTAGAGCTAATTTCAAGATGTAGATCTCCACAAATGAACAAAGAGGAGAAGGCAAATGCTGAAGGGCTTTATTATACTTTTCCTTAGACAGTTATTCCTTTCAGATTATGGCAATGGACTTGTCTATCCTAGCTTACGGCTGTAGGTACCTGAGAGTAAACAAAGTGCTGTTCATAACTCATGAAGTACCTATTACTTTTAAAAATCTGGCATGAGATGAACCTAGGAACATAGCTTGGGCAAAGGCTTCTTGCACCTGTGAGGAGGAGCATACAATTAACCACAGGCCAGTCAACCGTACCTCCGTCCTGAGAAGGTTATGGAGCAAATCCTCCTGGAAGCTACTTCCACCACACAAAGGGGGTGACTGGGAACAGTCCGCATGGATTTACCAAAGGTAAGTTTTTCCTGACTAACCTGATCATCTCCTACAAAATGCTGAATGGCTTCACAGATTAGAGGAGAGCACTGTGTTCTCAGCAAGTCTCTGGTTGATGCCAAATTATCTGGAGCAGTTGAAATGCTGGAGGCTGCTATTCAAAAGGACTTACCTAGGCTGGAAAAATGGGCTGATAGGCACCTCAGGAAGTTCTGTCAAGTCCTGCCCCTGGGACAGAGTAATTCCTTGCAATGCTACAGGCTGGGGACTGGCTGTCTAGAAAACAGCTCTGTAGAAAAAAATAACTGGGAGTCCTGGCGGACAGCAAGCTGAACAGGATCAGCAGTGTTCTCCTGCAGTAAAGCCAACAGCATCCTTAGCTGTATCAGCAAGTGTGTCGCCAGCAGATTGATGGATTTTTTCCTCCTCTATTCAGTATTTGTAAGACCACAACTGAGGCACTCTGCCCAATTTTGGGCTCCCCAGTACAAGAAAGACAACAAGTCCAGTGGAGAGCTACCAAGATGATCAGGGGCTAGAGCACATGGTGCACGTGAGAAGAAAAGGCGAAGGAGACACCTTACTGTCTGTAACTACCTACAGGAGAAGTGCAGAGAAGACAGAGCCACTCTTCTGAGAGGTGCCCAGTGGAAAGACACGAGACAACAGACACAAGTTAGAGCACAGGAAATTCTTTCTCAATATGAGAGGAAGATGTCTTTTATCATGATAGTGGAGAAATACTGGAATAGAAGCCAGGAGAGGCCGTTGGATCTCTGTCCTTAAAAGACACACAGAAATGGACTGGACAAGGTCCTGAGCAACCTACCCTAACCAGAGCATAAGGTTAGACTCAAAACCTCTGGAGGTCCCTTCCAACCTATCTGCTTTTGTGCTTCTGAGACTCCCTCCTGTTCTTTAACATGCTGCAGGTCCCAAAGCCCAGCTTACCTCTTGTTATGATGGAAATTTAATTCACGTCTAAGATGGAAATTCAGCTTTTGCTTTTCCCCTCTTATTTTCCTGATTGTACCATAAAAGAAAACAGGGAATTAAAAATCTATCACAGATACCTGGAAAGGACCTCATCAAAGGCTATTTCCATTCCTCTGTCCCATCCAGGGTCAACAATATCTACTTTGCTCCTGAGAGAGGTTCATCTAGCCTGTTCTTAAAGTCTTCCAGCAGTAGAGACCTCTCAAAACTTCTCACGAAATCTCCAACACTCTAATACTATTAGGAAGTCAAAAATATTTTGTCTGCAATGTGTTTATTGAGATCGTCATAGCTACACTGTCAACATAAATTCATCTATTATAGCTTAACAGTGGTGTAAAGCAGAGTATCACCTCAGTAAGTACCACTTCCTCATACAAAGCAGTTAATACAGAAGAGGGATTGTCATGGATTGTGGCAGAGGCTAGAAAGTTGACGCCCATGATGAAGAAACCTCCAACAAAGGATAAATCACTAGATACAAAAGCAAAGTCATAAATAACAAAAGCTTGTTGCGATATCAGCTTTTCTAGAGTTTTTGGAAGTCTGGTTATGGCAAGTAATAGGGGATAGGACAGCGGACATCATTTGATATTCTGCTCTACACTGAATAGGAGAGTTTTCCATTTGACATTCACTGGAGAATACAGCATGGAAACAGGGAAGTTAATTCTTTAACAATGGCATTCAAACATGTGTCGTTACAACTGCAAAGGTCAGAATACGAGACAATCTGTAACTTATTTACAGGTGTAATAACAGTAAAAAAAATCATTTTAATATATCAGTTGCAAATTTAAAAAGTAGAGTTAATGTATAATTCAGCAGAGAGGATTAGGCACAGTTTAAAGAGCAGGTATTGCCAAAACCAATGAACATGTCTCAAAAGATCATCTACTGAAATCTAACAACAGATGACAAAAATCAAGCAGCCAACCATTTGCTTCTTTTTGGCACCGTGGTGTGTATTCAAAAATCAAATTACCATAATAGTACTTTTAGGATCTTAATCTGACATCCTGCATAAAACAATCTACAAGCCTTCCTTGAAGTAGTACTGAAATGAAGCCTCTCTTTTAGGAAAACTTTCTTTTTAGAAAATACCAAATCCTGGTTCACACATAGTAAATAACCTACCAAAAAGCTCTGATAAAATGTTCCAATGAATCATTACCCTCATTCTTTACAATTTGTAAACTTTTATTTCCTTTTCATTTTCAGTCTGAATACTTCTAGTTTCAACTTTAAGCCACTGAATCTTGCTTTCTCTTTTACCAATAGATTAAAAAGCCTCTGTTCCCCAGGTAAGCCAGTGAAGAATCAATTTCCTAAACATTCCCTAAAACAGACTACACTTCACAGCTGGTCACTGTGTTTTCCAATCTTCAATCACTTCCAGATTTCTTCTCTGAATAACCTCTTTGATTTGTGAACAAAAGATGGTGAGATATTATACTGGAAGATCCATCTAATAAACATGGGGGTAATGTATTTCTGTTACCAAATGATACTACATTATGTCGGTTTCTGGAGCCAAGAATATCATCAGCACTTCCAACCATTTCACATTACAGGGAGCTTGTCTCAGCTATCCACAATGACTAAAGTTTTTAAGTCATTGTTTCCACAGATACTGTAAGGGAAACTATTAAGCACAGACCACACACCCTGTTCTCAGATGTACTGCTTTACATGCATACTGAAATATGTATTGTTTGTGCTCACCTTAAGAAGAAATCCAAATCACTCTGGGTGGACTGTTATCCAATCATTAATTGGTAAAACTCTGGACAATTAGTAAGTATTAGGGGAAAGTTGCGATTTTCTGTTTTCTTTCCAGGTCATTGACAAAAGTTTGTAGCGATGCAATGACAAGAACCAGTCACTAAAGGACCCAAGCAGAGTAACTACTCCTCATTCAAAACCATATTTTGTTTCTTTTAGTTATTCAACTTTATACCCATTTAATGCGAGTCATGTGAACACTGTATAGTTCTCATTTCTTACTGGTGAGTGAGCTACAGAAATATATTCCTTCTGCCTATCATCCACATAAGCCTGCATTTTGCTTTCTCTGGAAGAATTCCGTAAAAGCATGTAATAAACATTCCTCAGAAAGGATACAAAGGTAGACTTGACAATCAGAAATCGAGCTGTGCAACAATCTTAACTACAGTTACCCTGATAACCAGGGTTTTTTTAAATACTAACATTTTCAAGATATCTCTCTCCAGCTTACTGAGCACAAACTTGAAAAGGTCACTGGTATGAAGATCCCAAATTTTAAAAAATATTTTCTGAAAAGGGTGTAAGTCTGAACACTAGATACTATTTATAAACATAAAATGTATCAGTCTTCTCTTCGGACTGTGAAATGCTAATTTTTATCTCTCCGAGCAGAACATGATACCCTGACAACTACGCTCATCACATGTGAAGGCAGATCTTGTTAGGGGCCTCATTGCAGGAATTCAGGGTTTTGTTCACATAATAACATGTTTCTTTTGCCTGAAGATACCTCAACGGGTGTAACTGATCTCTGCACAGGGAGACTGTGGCAGACTCATCCCCAGTAGGATGAGTAAGTCCTTTTAATCTTTCTTAGCTGCCCACAAACCCTGTCATCATAATCCATCTGAAAAAACTCCAGAACTGTGCCTCAAAGTAAGCCTGAGAAGGTTACCAACACATTAACCTCCCTTTTTTGCTTATTAAAAGAAAAATTAAGAGCTTTGAAAATCAGAAATTTTTATTGCTCTTGGCTTTGAAAGGCTTAATCCTGAGACCAAAATGTTGCACAGACCAAGTTTAAGAGATTTCTCTTGTAACTTCAGGAAAGACAGATAGCTTGCTAGTACCTGCAGTCACTGGGGAGATGACGGTAATTCACCCTGTAACAGGGGAGCAATCCACAGACAGTTTAACTACCCCACGCACTGACCTTCTTTAAGGATTGCGAGGAAGGAGAATTTTCTTCCTCTTCCTACGACACCCTGTCCTCTATGAGGCAGCGGCTGTTTCTAAACATTCCTTTTGATTCTGCGGGACTGTGTTCACAAATGCATGTGCACCCCTCCCAGACCTCAAGCTCCTGTGTCATTCTGTGCAAACTACTCCACTGCTGCAGCACAAACCATGACTGCTGTGTGCACACATGTGTCTGTGCTGGGAAGCAACTCTGCAAGATGGATTATTTTCCCTCTTACTGCCTACTGATTTTTTATGCTGTTCCAACCTTCTTCAGAAAGCCAAGGATATTTGAAGTTCAATAGGAAAGCTTGAGGCCAACAAAAAAATCTCTTTAAATTATTTTTTAAATCCTCTGATAGCCCTCTATAAAGGAAATCCAGCACCTCAGGAAGCTTTGGCAGTCTTATGCAGGCAGGCATGGACTCAGACGTGATGATACTCCTCTGGCTGCCTTAGAAAAGCAGAACCCCCAACTGTGAAGATCATCTAACAGTAAAGATGGAGAATAGCTCTGTGTGCTCTGTAAAATATATATGTACATATATTATAGCATCAAGATGAAGATATGAGGAGCTATGGATTGCAATTGTGCGGTTCAGAAAACACATCTTGTTATTCATTTTGGAGACATCCTAAAAGCGTAAAATAGGAGTTCCTGGTTTATTTTTGAAGTATCAACCTGTTCCACTTTAGCTTCCCCTCTTCTACTTATTAAGCCATCTTCCCATCCTCCATGCCATAGTGAGGCACTGTCAACAATTTTGAGACCTGGGCAGAGAACAGGAACAGGTCCCTTGCCAGACTTGTTTCCAGTTTTTGTTCTACCTGTTTATCCAAAAATGCAGAAAACACAAGACTGTCTCAGTGCACCTACAGCGTCTCATACCTGATTGCTGCCTGTCCTCAAGAACTCTTACTACGACCTTCCTGGAACTCACTCTGCACTACTGTTATTAATGCTCAAGTTGTGCCACTTTCTCCAGGTAAAAACCTCGAGATTCTTCAGTCTCATGTGCCTTGTCACCTTCCACGTTTCCCGTAACAGGGTAGCTGGGGCAAATACCATTTCCACCTGACAGTTTTTCTATTACTGGCATGCGTAGGTCTGAAAAGTCCAAATCACTTCCTGGATCACTCTGAAAAGCTTCTCAGGGCTGGCTTAAGTCTTAGTTCTGAGAACAAGACAGACTGGAATGGCAGCAGTCACTCTCCTTCAGCATGAGTACAAGAAATCTCTTTTGCAAAGCACTGTAAAAATCACTACTGAATTAATAGCTAAATCAGCACCAAGTCTTCCTATTTTGGACTCCAGAGCCTTTACCCGCTCAATGCTAAAATGCCCAAAAAAAGAAAGAATTAAGGAAATGCATCACATGATGATAAGTATGAAAGTTAACCTAACTATATTGCTCTTAAGTAAAGTTGTAACGCAGCATTTCTAAGATCATATAACACAGAAAAATACAAGAATATCATATGCTATACAATCCATCCATTAGAACAAGGAAAAAAAAAAAAACCAACTCTATCAAAAGCCAAGATAGATTATTCTGCTGCACGGTAACAGAGGTCACCATCACTTCACACACAAGCAGAATCCTTCAAGTGCTGAGACAGCATTGCCATCATCATCTTCTATTTTGTTTCGATTTGATGTGAATAATTTTGTTCACAGATATCAATAAAAAAGGAAATTTCAAGTTCAGAGTGTCCTGGGAATAGTATGGCATTAGAGATTCATTGCCACTGTTAGAAGCCTTTGCCAAAAGCTCACATAAACTTCAGGAAAACAATTTTGAGAAATGATCTAGTTATCACTCCAGAACACACAAAATCATTTAAAACTTACTTAAAACACCAAAAGTCTCTCAGATCTTGCAGTTAATCAGTCTTTAAGAAAATTTACTATCACGTGTTTCAACAGTGCTTCAATCTCACTTCCCATTTCTACAAAATCAGTCTCTAGATGCCGTAGCTGTCAAAGAAACTTCAAAATACAACACATGCAACTAACAGACAAACACCTGCCTGGGATTACAGACAGCCCAAGAAAAGAGCTCTGAAATATGAAATGAAATTTAGCAGGGGATAAGTCAGGTAATAACGTTGTTTTACAACACTGTTAGGAGCAGTTTTGCTCTTGAAAGTGATAAGCAATTGTATCATGAAGAACCGACGAAGCCTTAAGTGTTAAATGATAATGCCAGAAGGAACAGAATGGCATCTACATTCCTGAAGGCAACCGTATCTTTAAAAAGTTGGAGATGAGTTTTTTTTAATTTCATGTGAAAACAGATCAGCTTTGTAAATCACAAAATACTTTGGTCAAATAAATTTTCAAAACAAGGCCCACACACATTGTTAAATTAAAAGCAGCGTGTAAATGGTATTTTCCTATTCATCAAACGCTGAGTTCTATGTCTTTGCAAACAAACTAAAAAACAGTGCAACAGTCAAGGGTGTGAGCACCTCATCATACCAATTCTGGCAAAATCAGTAAATCTGCATTTGATCCTAATCCATGTAATACTCGTCTCTTTAAGGTATAACCTTAATCTCTGCAGTTCTCTGTACAGCACACAAACATTTCTTCCCTGCAGATCAGCCGACACACTCTAAATCTACTATTAAAACAGCTGAAGTATTTTAACATGGCTTAAGGTAAAAATCTATGAAAATTAACAAATACAGTCAACATAACCATTCTAAAACCAGGAAATACGCATATTAGTACAGGTTTCAAGAAACCTACTTTTTTGTGCGTTCTGGGAATGAAATGATCAGAGGCCACTGAAACCATGTTTACTGAGATGTGAACTGAAACCCTGCAAACCCTCAGCACTTCAACTTGAAATACCACATTATCCCAGAGATGGCATCTGTGAGTGCGCTATGAAAAAAAATTGACAATCACACAACCACTGCGTTGTAATGAGTAGCCAAATAAAAACATATTAACATGATCATCATAATCTTTTTTTCCTAATATTTTCTCATTTGTGGTGTTTACTTGGCCCTTGGTGATCTACTGTTTTTTATGTTCATGTAAAGAATCTAGGTTTTTTAATTTATATATGGTATTAACGCAAACATGTTCAAAAAAGCTATTTCTGAGCCTCCCTATGATCTCTATTACTATTTCACACTCATATCCTCATAAGTAAACACTTCACAATTGACCTAAAAGGGCAATGCTATTCTGTGTAATTAAAGAATTTTTAAGATTTTATGCACACAGGCATTATTACAGTGAAACAATCAAAACCTTGTCTAGTTTTGAATTCTGCTTCAACAGCATCACACAATCAACCACACAACCACTGGGCCACTCAGTGAATTCATTACTAATCTTTGTCAAATAATGATTGACTCATAACTTGAATTACAAGTGTTTTATGGTATTTCTTTAAATAGTACTAAGCAAAGTTTTAAATGTGTCAACACGAATTTTTAAAGACTGTTACCCACAATATTTCAGCTGTTTAACCACTGGTGGGAAGGAGCTTTTACTATTTAGCTAAAAGTCAATGTCCTCCTCAAAAACATGTCTGTAGCCTGACAGTAAAAATGGGTTAAAAAGAAGACAGAACATAAAAGGAAAAAACAAGAGCTGAACGTTTTACCTCACTGTCTGGGCTGGGCTGGATAACTTCCCAGGTCTGAGAATCCACGTCGTAGCAGTGAAGCTCGTTGGGTAGCGTGTTATCTGCAGCACCACCAAACACATAGAGATGTCGGTCGAACGCAACCATTGTGTGGCCGTATCTTCGTTGTGGAGGAGGAGGGGAGCCTCGAAGTAAGTGCTCGGTAGGAATTCGTGTCCAACTGAGACATTAAACAACATTCTTTTTTTCACAACTCTCTTCCACAAAGTAAGTTTTCTAACTCTCAGATTGTAAGAATAAAGAAGAGGAGCTCTATTACAGTACTTACTGAACCTGCATGAGAACAGACCGTGACTAATCCTGCAGATTTCTGAGATCTACGTCACCTCTGTGTTGCTAAACTTCTAACTGAAAATATGGTAGAGGCAACATGGTTCCATACCCCAGATGTATTTATGTAAACCCTAGCAGCTCAAAGATCACAACTTGGGAAGGAATTGGTGATCTATTATCACACATTTTAACAGCTAACCCTTCTAAGTAAAGGGCACCATTCTGATACCATATCCCATTTTGATAAGGCATTGCTTATTCACCGTGATAGCCAAGGTTTGGAGGCCGTTAGTTGTTGTTTCAGTCGTGGCTCCACTTCAGCCAGTAACCAGACAGACCAGGCTGTCAGAACAGACCAGTGCATTTGTATTCCCACTTCTTGGCATTTTTATCCCATCAGAGGAGCCACATTTTCAGAGCAATGGTTGACACTCTGAGCAAATCACATCAAATGTTTCAAACTGAATACTCAAGATCTTAAAAAATACTACGAGTTTTACATTTCCCAGTGATTTCACTATGAACTGGTATTTCACAGGATCTCTGTCTGGTTTGAATCAGGTATTCATATAACAAGTTTTAGGAAGGTAGTATTTGGCATCCCATTCTGAATACACTAAGATTCACACTTACTGTTTAAAGTGAATCTACTAAATTTTCTGTTTTGTCTGCTGAAAAAGACCAATCTGATGCACATGGCAAAGAACAAAGTCTCATTAAAACAGTACGTATTTTATCTTATTTACCCATCCTCATCATGAGATGCAGTATTCTTCCCCAATATCCTTAAGTACGTGCATTTCTCAACTCAAGCAGTCAAGGATTATGCGGATTTGAGCGACTTAACCGTCTACACTTACATCTTTTCCTTGAATTCAAACTGAAAGAGATTATTGGTAATCTTTGCACCACTCTGGCCAGAGAAAACAAACATTTTGTCTCTGCAAACAGCGACGGGAAAATTACAGCATGAAGGAGGAATTTCACCACTTTGTTCAATCTGAAAGGCAACGAAGTTCAAAATTGAAAAGGTATCAGTGTAGTGCATGACTACGCACGGTGAGTATACTGCAGAACCATGCAATACATCAGCAGACAGACCGACCACATGGCAGTGACGTGTCCAGACAACCAAGTCCCTATAAATCTGGCTACAAGTAATCAACTAATACTGTGCTTACATGTCTGCATAGACTAATTTTACCATCGATTAAACGGATGGGAGGCCACATTTCTAAAGCCCCTGATACTGTAAGGATCAGGACTCTGATCTTGCTAGTCAGCAAAGCCCCCAGTCTGTGGCAGTGGTTAAAGTGGGAAATGCAGTCCCTTTTTATAGGAGGTATAACAAAGCCACCATGGGCAGTCAAACTCCAGTTCACAGATTCACAAGCAAAAAAAAAAAAAAAAAAAAAAAAAAAAAATCACACTTTCACATACACTTGGGTTTCCAAATACACAAAAAAATCCAATTTGCACTGTTTCTTTCCACCTGTGTGTCAAATACGTTCTGAAGAGAGAGTAGCACAGTCCAGTATAGGAAATTGTAAATAACTGTGTATGAAAACAAAAAAAAAAAAAAGAAAATTCTATGTGTTAGTTGAAATTAAAGCATCTTACCTCTTCCCAGCATGTTAGCTCTCTATCCTGCAGGCCAATTGTCCACATATCATTTAACCTGTGTTATAACACAAAAAATGCCTGATTTGAAACCGTTAATTTTTGGTAATTTTTAGCTCATGGAGTTGAAAGGAGAGAGATCCTATTTTATCAGCATTCCTTTTCCCGCACAGGAAGAATTTTCTACTTCCTCTAGCAGAAAAAAATCCTATTAGAACCTTTCTGTCCTATACCTAAATTTTATACCACCACTTCAGCTTGCTTTAGCATCTTTCTGATTACAAGTATATTACAGTTAACAGTTACACAAAGCAACTCTGCCTGGAGCTTATGGATTTGAGCTATTTAATCTTCAGGATTTTTACAGAAATACTCCTTATTACTCTGTCGTCTTCTACCCATCCCTGCTAGCCTCTGAGACTGACCACAGTAATTATTTATGTGGCTGAATCCTACCTTAAATACATAAAGGAGGACAAAGTGGGTAACCTGACACATCACTGACTACTACATATCTGACTATGCTTTTCCCAGTACAAGTTACTCACAGTAACTACAGATGCTTCCTTTGTTCAAATCTGCCTGGAGGCTCATGTTCCACAAAAAGACATTTTTTAACGTGATTAGACATATTTAACATAAATTAGACAGCTCCTCTCACCCAATCCCTCCTTCCAGCTACCCAAGGTCCTTGGGGAACTCCCTAAGCTGGAAGTGAGTAATTCCACAGAGTCATGCATCTTTCTCCAATTCTTCCTCCAGAAATAAAGAAAAGATCCCATCTGTTTTTCCAATTAACAGCAGTTCTCTCAGAGACTTTGAGGAGCTGATAACTTTTCTGCAGATTCTCCTCAGAACAGGAGGCAACCCAGCATGGTGAGGCAGCTCCTAGTTTGTGACAGTATCTATATGCTCTCACGATGCAAATATTGTGCATCAACATAAAGTACTTCTCAAGTTCATCAAGATAGAAAAAAGTATGTGTTCAAAATTGATTCTTCCCTGATAGACTAATAGCAAATGGAAAGAGCTGCTATCTGGAACAAAGCACCAGACTGTCCCTAACTTCTCAGTACCACTCATTTTTAGTCTTTTCCCATCCAAAATCTCATCTCCCTTCAACCTAAATACTCCCTTCAACCTAAATAATATCACACATTTTCAGAGAAAAAGCTGACATGTTGTTCTTCGTTCTGTCTTATGACTTCACAGAAAATCCATACTTTGTTCTATAAGTCTTCAGCCACATCAGAAGGCCTCTGGCAGATATCTTTTGAGAAATGCTCATTTGCCAAATTTCAAAGATCATTTAGCATCTTTACAACCAAGAAGGCTGTCAAATCATACATCTATAGCCGTTCTGAGTCATCAGATTTTTAGGTTTTAAACACATACTTAACATGAACTGGTGAATTGCAAAAATGTAATGCTCAACAACGGGCTGGGTTTTACAAAGCTCCAATTACGTGTTTAAATCACGTGGTACATGAAAATGTCTCTACAGAGGTGAAAAGTGAGGGACTGGGATTTTAAAAGCACCCAAGGAGAGAGCGATCCCACCACATACCGTGCATTGCCATCGTATCCTGCAAAGATCCACAGCTTGTCACTATACACTGTTGCGCCATGAGCTGACCTTGCAACTGGCAATCTGTAATTGAGAAAATTAAGAGAAAAATCTCTTAAATCACCTGCAGAGCTGCTGTAAGAAGGGTCTGCATGACAGTTAAAATGCACATGTAAGAAGAATAAAATCCCCTACACAAAATGGCTTCAAGCCAAGAAATTGCTTCTGTCATACAACCTCAAAAGACAAAGCAAGCTTCTGAAGGGCACATTTTAGAATTTTACACTCTGCTTCCTTCATTAGAGAAAGATTACCTTAATGCATACAGAAAAAAAGAAAGAAAGAAATCCCAACTAATTCCTTGCCAGGTCTCAAATACTCTTAAAGTACTCTATGGAAAGTAGCTCAATAGTGGGACAATAGCACTATCATTACGACAAAGTGGCAATCCACTTGTGCAATAAAAATCCCATGCATGTTTTCACACATTAAGAAGGTGGAACACATAAATGAGACCCAGGGTAGAGCTCACAATGCTTATTTGTATTGTCTAGCGAGGCACTCCTGAGATGCAGTGCCCACAATAAAAGATCAAACCTACGATTTCTCTTCCCTAATCTTTGTTGTTTTTACTAAATCAGCCAAGAAGTGTTGAACAAAACTGTGGTGCCACAAGGCCAGCAGATGTAATGGTAGCTTGTTTGAGGTCATTTGTGCAGTATGCATACTTGTAACTGTGGGGAAAGACAAGGACGTTTGAGTTCATAAAATATGAATACAATTACTCTCCAAAATGTCCGAAGTTGCTAGAATAACCAGAAATAGAAATTAGTAATGTGGTCTATGTTCTAAAGCATAACATATGCTCATCACAGTTGAGCAACAATAACTTAAGAATGGACTGTGCATTCTTCACCCCTTTCTACAAATCACAATAATAAATGTTCCCTTCCCTCTCCCCACTAAAATCAGCACTTCAGAAACTTGAAATACTTAATGAACTGCGGTACAGTACATCCCATACGCGGGTGTGGTGAACATTAAGTAGTTGGGTCAAAATCAGTGTCACAGGCAACATCCTGAAATGTGCACAAAGTCAACTTTAAGAAGTAACACATTACTGGTTTTGATTTTGCCTTGGAAAGTTGAATCTCAGGAACCTGTGTTCAACAGATCCAAATATGTATCATCAACTCATTCATCTGCTTCTGAATTTATTTGTGTGAACACACATCACTTTAAGGTGCTTCGAGCAAGAGTGTGCATTTCAGAGCACTCCAAGAAAGTCCAACTTTAATCAGAAAAGAATGTGTAGATTTAACTACAAATAAGCTTCAAAGTGGTTTCTGATAAAACTAAATTGAAACTATGAGGGATCAACAAATTTCATGCTATCCTTGAAAAAGAAACAATTCAGAAGAAAAAAAATTTCCTTTGCTCCCATCCCTTCTGTCACAGAACTGAAATGTGAAGAATCGATTTTGGTCAGATTTCCAATATAGCACACTCTGGAATGGAGGCCTTGCAAAAAAAAATCCTTCAGAACAGGAGACAGTTTTCAGAAAAATTTAATCAAGAAAGTAGAGCAGAAATTGTCCTGCAGCCTTAATATTAGCATTGTAACTAATTCTAACTGTCATTGCTGAGTTATGCTCAAGTCCCCTTGAAGAGTAGGTAATGATGCCAGCTCCTTACCTTCCTTCAGTTTTCCACTCTGTCCACTGTCCAGTTGCAAACTTATATTCAAAAAGATCGTTTTTATTCTTCAGGTTGGAATTGGAATAAATGTCTCCAGTATAGCCACCTGGGCAACAACAGTTCCATTAGACTCAAATGAAATAGAGCATACACACTTCCAGTCATTATATTAGAAGAAAGCTGAAGTTTAGATCACACAAAGAGAAGGTATTTGCCTAACGGACCACTACAGGTGGGAGACTTCTCCTCCACCCCTACTCCTAAAGATGCACTATGGCAATGAGTTTCAAGTCTTCCTTACTTTAGACAAAACAGCAAAGTATTTCCAAGCTAAAGTTGAAATCACAGTCAGCCATAAAAAATACTGGTTTTGCTACAGAATAAGACCTTTCGACACTTCCAAAAAATATCTCATTCTTTTTCCAAAACAGTACTACCACCACATTTATCATTCCAAGCACGCACGACTGTCTTACCAAACACAAACATGCTGCTCCCATAGACCACAGCTGAGTGGTGATACCGTGGTGCTGGCGGGGTCCCCGTGGTAAAAGCCCTGTACAACATTTAGAACAGTGGCAATCAAACAGCCTTGTCATGCTTCAGGCACTCAAAGCTATTGTACAGATTAAAAAAAGAAACAATTGTTAAAAGTTATTCTACTGTTCCTGAGTATTTTCACTGGTTCGGGTTTCTTAATTGTACTGTCTAAGATTTTATGAGAAACTCGGCACTATAAGCATAAACAGTTACAAACATGGTGCTGCTGATATCTGTTCGGCAGAGATGGCGAGTGAGGCACAGGTATGAACATAGACTGCACAGCCCAGAGCAAAGGAGCAAAGCTATCTGTGAGCCCCCCGTGCCACCATTCCTACCCTGAGGGGCTGCAGCAGCCCAGTCTCTCTGCCCACTCATCCTTTCAGCACTCTCACAGGGCATATGAACAGTGGCAACCCATGGTGCTCTGTCCATCGCTGTGCTGCCCAGCATCCTCTCGCAGGCAGGAGCTGCGTGGGAACACTCAATAACCTCCCTGACCGCTCAGCCACACAGCAGGCATGCAGAGGTCAGCTGTGACAGCACTTGGGTGGGGAGTGATGCTTCCCCTTCGATGCTCTGGTAGAGGCCCCAACTTTTACACCTGGGCCCGAGGTGCTGAAGAAAGAAGAGGCATCTCCCAGCCCTGCCAGCAGCCCTGCAGGCAGAGAGAGGCCGAGCCAGGAGAGCACAGCGCAGCCCACCTGCACCACGAGCAGTCCTTCACGTCGAAGCGCAGCAGGTCGTTCAGCATCGTCTTCCTGCAGGGAGGAACGGCAGAGGCGGCTGAGGCGGGCCGCGGGGCCGGCGAGGGGCAGCCCCCC